GCATGACACGAGCTATGATAGCAGCACAGCTATTGCAAACACAAAACGGCATACGGTAAAACCAAGGCTGCCAACTCTAAACGGTATACCTTCGCGATTACCGTACCAGCTCGGTTACTGGTGCCGCCAGTCGACTCAAGGTATTTTCGAAGATCTTGCCGCGATGGCAAGGACCGCTTCTTGGGATCCAATATGTTTCGCATTGGTGGCAATGTCCTTGGCTGTGTTAAGGCGCAGCGTGGCTTCTGAAAGGAACATCAAATCGAACGTCCAATCCTAGAAATCGCCAAACCTTCAAGCTCGAGTAGGAAGTCCGAAGTGCCCTCCGCCCCACTCGTCAGGGGTCTCCGCTGCCCCCAATGCCTGTGGCCATCTTTAACGTTGCGAAACGACTGTGGATTTCGCAAGATCTAAGGCTGCTTTAAATTAAGGGTACCGGGCGGATTAGAATTTACTTCGCTTCACAGCTTAAATAGACACCAGAACGTGCGGTCAAAATGTCACTAGCGGGGTCAGATGGACCCAAGAAAGAAGTTTCATTTTGAGACTCAACTACAAGTATCTGAAACTTGAGGTGGTTCTACGGCGTTTTCAGTCATCCAAGTAAAGAATGGGGGACATTCGGGGACTCACTGCATCAACAGATTCCAAGCGTCCCTGTATGCTGTTATTATATAGGGTGGGGATTGCAAAGGACAAGTGTTACTGTGTGGGTGTGTGATTCCCACCTGCAGAGGACAAGTCACCCAACTGGAAACTTCATACTACCGGCATTGTGGGAGACTGCTTGACAGGAACTGCACTTTCGTCTTGCAGATTCCTGGCCACTCATGCAACTGACGGATGGGACATGGCGCAGCTGTTTGTACTTATGCTGACCCACGCTCTGTTAAGACCACACCGCTTTGAGAGATCGCGGTTCCTGTCGTGCAGCGACATCGTCACCTTCGGCGAGGCGCGCTTGGGCCTCCGCCTGACGTTGCGACAGTTCCGAGTGGACCCTCATTGCAGCATGTCTGGTGCATCACTTGGTGGGAATCCCTCCCAGCAACCGACAGCAACGCGAACTGGCTCTAGGTGGCGAGTGATGCTCCAAGAGACCCAACCCAGCACGGTTGACTTGGGAGCTGGAGATGTCTGAGAGAAACGAGCCTCCATATCATCGAAATCGAACGCCATGGCATCTACGGTCTGTAAAGGAGCAACAGGAAAGCGAAAGGATGCATGTACACTCGGTCGAAGAATTCTCAAGGATGCATGAAAAGCATGCTGTGTGGCAAGTCTTCAGCTCTGAAGATTGAGATGTTCGTAAGTATGGGATGATGTCGCATATGGAAACCCAAACGAATCAGAAGGTACAACTTGGCCACACATCCGGCGTACGTGCTTCGCTCATCTGCACGAACCATGTCATGAAATGAGCACTGTATCCATAGTGTACGACACCCCGCAACAGTTGCTTTCATGCCTGGCACAAACCAGCTGGCAAGTTAAGGCCCCCTGGACCATGTTCCGCGGTGGCTGAGCTGAGCGCCAAGAGCGATGTCCGCCTCACGGAGCACTTTGTGGATGAGCGAACGACTTCTTTGCGCGGGAAGATTCGAGATTCAAGACGAAACAAAACAATCAATCCCATTCAATTCATACGGGGTAGGCTGAGGGTGCCACGTGTCGTCTGGCCAAGGCATGAAGCCCGGCCTGAACGCAGGCACCAGCATTCGGGTCCCATGCTCGCGGATCGAAGATCTAGGTATCAGGTAGTGGCTCGCGGCGGCTCTCCGGCCTTGTTGGCGCAGAGGGACAAGTTCAAGTGCAGCGCGACGAGATGACTTCTGCGCGTGGAGACCTGCGATTGAAACAAGATTGTCCACCATCTCTTTCAGTCTTACGACGTCAGCACGATGAAAAAACACAAAACCATCTGCCGGTTTGCGAGACCAATCTCATGCCCCTGAGCTTGCTGCACAGATCGACTGCCAGGCCTCCTGATCGGAAAGGCCCTGCAGAGGGTTTTCACCTTCGCCGGCCTCGCGGCTGTAGGCACCTCTGCGGAACTCCGCTATGTTTGGATGAGAGCTAGTTGTTGCACGTACCATGTTAGAGTTGCTACAACCTTGGTTCAGGTAGACGGTAACAAGTGAGGCATGCTGACCACCGCAGCCGTGCAAATTCACTTTTGCAGGTGCCTTGGATGTGCCCTCGCTCTGTGGGGAAGAGAGCCTGAGGCGTATGCACACGCACACCTTTCTCACAAGCACAGGCCAGCTGATCCAGGCAGACGGGCAGAGCTCGGCCTTGTACATGGGACTCCGCCGCACGGCATCAAGCCTGGGCTTCTGACAAACGCGGCCCCAGGCTGCCACCGAGTTGTCCGTTCAAGCGACGCTCGCTTGTATGCTTCGGATGCTTCTTCGAAGCGGCTCTCCCGCGCCAGAGCCTCGGATGACGCAAGATGACGAATGATGATAGAGTCTGATAGAGTTTTGCACATGTCCCGGCATTCCCACAGAGGCTAGCGGATGCTCGGCTCGCAGCGTTGCCGTGTGCCTTCTCCAGCTCCAGGAAGTGAAGCTGTCCTCCCTCCTCCTGGTGGATGGCATTCCTAGTCCTAGGTCCTAACACTTGCAGGCTGCAGCCATGCTCGCGGCGTCCAGCAAGCATAGATCAACAGCTTCCGTCGCTGCTAGAAGTGCCTCCGACAAGTCGACGAGTTTAAACAAAGGCCGTAAGCAAGGCCGCAAAGACGTCGCTGAGCTCGCTGCCAATCTGAAACCTTGGAGGTCAACATGTCATAATATGTCAACAGCAAGTGAGCAAGAGATTGTTTCATGCTGCTTCTCAGTGGCTGCCGCCGTCGTCGACGAGCTTGAGGTCTGCCCACGCTGCCGTCTGTCCCTGTACCTGTCGCACTCATCGCTCACAAATTCCAATCTAGATTTCCAGATGTCGTGCTTCGGAGCCAGTCAGAGCCCAAAAGAGCAATTTCTCCAATGCTGCCTTGTTTTCAACTACCTCGCCCATGCAGTAGCACGAATGTCCAGGCAGTCGCACGGGCCAGTCGGAAGGGAGCTGGTAAGGCTGGCTTGAGGGACTGCCTTGCAGACGGTCCATGGAGCAACGAAGCACATCTTGGTGGGAAGATGACTCGGTGCCCCGGTGCCCAAGAAATGAAGCCTGCTCCGTCGGCATCTGCGGTAGGCACCTGGCTCGCCACGTTGGTGTTCGGGCGGTTGTTCGTCACTGTTCCTAGAACTTCGGCTCAGCATGACTCCGTCATCAGCAAGGAGCTCATCCAGCCTTTGCCGAGAGAAGTGAAGGAGAAGGCTTGTCGGGCTGGTTCAGAGGAGGACATGGAAGGAGGACTGTGCAAACGTCGACAAGGTGCAGGGCCACTGTTTGCACTGTAAACCCGGCACAGCGGCTACAACATAATCACACTACTCCGCCTTGCACTTCAGGTGACACTCCTCATTGCCTCATAACCCGCGACCCCACACCGTCCCCTGAGGATCCCACAGTGGGCAGAGCTCACGGACCTCCAGCTTCCGCCTTGGACTTTACTGGAGAAACGACCACAGCTGGTTCGTGTCCAAGCTCCGCGCAGTGGCGTCTGGCCTTCGTAGCTTGGACCTGGAGAGTCACTGCACAGCTCCAAGTGGTGGTGACCATGTACCGAGGTCTACTGAGTCTACTGGACTACATGGACCCGAGCACGGGCAAACCGCCACCTGTCGGACGGCACAGCTGCACCGCGACAGGAGCTTTGAAGTCGGCGCTCTCACACAGGCGCATGCTTGCCTCATGCTTGAAAGTCCCTTCCCGTTTGCACTTGCCACCAAAAGCTTTGAGGGCGGCACCACTGCAACTTCAATGTAGCCAGGGACGACCTGATCGGGAAGGAGCCTTTGTCTTGTCCGCGCACGGTTGAAAGACTTTCGAGGGCCCAACCCCCTCTCCGGCGCGCCAGGACAGGAGCGTCCCCTTGTTATTGCCTACAGACAGGGGGAGCTCCAACAGGGTGTATGCGCCTACAAGCCCCTGCAAGAACCGCCTGGATCCCGAAAGGCGACCAAGACCATGCTGCCAGCCTCCCAACAAACTGCAGGAAGTGCTGCATCCTTACAGTTGATGGATGCCTCGATGTCGTGAAATCGTCGCTCTGGTCCCTGGCGGATCTCGGTTTTCCTTGGCATCTACCAGGAACTGAATCCCATAAGCTCCGGGAAGCATTGAGCAGCGCACTGAAGTGCCGAAGCTGCTGACACGTGCCCTGCAGCGCCGACCGCAGACTTGCAAGCAGCTGCTCTCTTGGTCTCCAGCCTGTGCCCTCCGCCTGGCACTGGAATGGCTCGCAAGCACGGCAGAAAGGCATTCACGGCATCCATCTCACCTTTTCGCGAGAGCTGCAAGCCTGCACAAATTCTTCAGCAGGCCAAGGGGTCTAGGATAGTCAAGACACACCCAGGCTTGACTTTGTAGCCTCTTGGTGTGGCGTCTTGTGCGCAGTCTACCCTCCGTGGGGCCATCCACAAAGCTCTGCAGGCTTGCAGAAGGTACAGTACCCACGTTGGGGTACCGATTGTGTGGGATTCGTGATTCAGCATTTGGCGGCCAGGCTCAGATGGCATTTCGGCATGTACGGACACGCGCAGGTCCGATTGGACCCATTTGGCAATGGGCTCATGGTTTGTCTGATCCTGTTGATACGTTATCCAGCTCGATGTAGACATGCCTCGGCTGCTTGGAGACAACTGATACAACCCCGACCTGATGTCAAGATGCCCTTGTGCTTGTCCCAGTCAGCCGCTCGCTGCAAGGGACCCACAAGTCGAAGGCGTGAATCGGTGTCGTGCAGCAGGCCCGTCCAGGTTTTCAAGAGACCCTGAACATCCCGAGACTCCGAAGTCAAGACTCCGCAAGCACCAAAGAATACCAGAGCCCAAACAGAAAAGTCTCAGAACTTCCTGCATGCCAAGATGCTTGGAGTCGCTGGACTCGCTTTCACCGTCCTCAGATGACACGGCAGATTGAGGGCCTGGGCCTGGGTTTCCGGAGGTTTTCCAAACGGAATCCCAAGAGGTTTCGGACAGCTCTGGGGCGGAAGACATCGTGAATCTGCAGGAAAGCCTGTGTCTCTGTTCTGCTTCTGCCAAAGATCATCCCTAGAGCGCCGTCCGCAGACGGAGATCGGGAATGCGTCGCCGAGGAGGCTTCCCTGGCCGACGGCAACTTAGGAGTGTGGCATGCCAAGCAGGCTGAGATGAGTCGCGTCGCCTTGGTCTAACATTTAGAATTTAGAAGCAAAGCAATGACCTCGACTCACTGATTCTATTCTAGCCCCTACGTAGCTGTTGCTGGCCCACACGAATGTGCACGGAGACCTTTGGTTTGGAGAACTAGCAGCAGGCTTGCCCAGGCAAAGGCTTGGCGGACGGGACGGTAGTATTCAATTAGCGTGGCAGCCTCCTTGTCGATTGTGAGGCCGAACAGCCGCAGCCGCTTGTATACCTTCTCGCGACAACCCTATTGTGCTGCACTACGTGAACCTTTATTGAAATCACGACAATGCAAACATTCAGTCAAGATGCAGATATTAGGTCCACGATCCTTGGAGAAACATCTGCAGAAGCAATGGGTGTGATGACGGGCCTGCATATACTGCAGATTGGGGTAAGACAAAGCTAAGTGCAAGGCTGAAGTTCTTTCAGCCAGGAGTCTGAGCCCAGTTCCGCACCAGAAATTGGAGGGAGCGCTCCACACTGCTGAACGCGGCCACGAGCCGTTGCATCTGCCCGAGGGTGATGCGCCCGTCAGCAATGCAGGGAACCAGCGCCAGATATGGGATGATCACTCCAAACTGAAGATAGGACCACTTCGCGAAATCGAAGTACATGAAGTTGAAGAAGAGCTGGAAATAGCTGGCGCGGACGCTGGCGAAGAGCTCCTCTACGACATCCGGCTTCGCACGGTCCTCGGAGTCCTCACCAAAGACCAGCTCCTTTCGGAAGGCTGCCTCGACGAGTTGGTTCTGAAACTCTAAACCCGGAAGCCGCATCCCGACCAAGGCAAGGCCCACGGTGCCCAGCAAGGCCCAGGTGATGGTGAGCACAACCATGGCATGAGGTACTTCCCCCAAAATCGGCAGAGCTTTAACAGGTTTCGAGAGCTCGAAAAGGATAGGTACGAATGCTGCCAGGGTCATGAACGACTGAAGAGCCGTCGCCCCGATGTCTTCCACCAGACCTGCAAAGCGCTTCGTGTCCTGAGCTGCGGTCGCAAGGCCCTAGACTTAAAGAACAAGTAGAGTCTTCAAGTCTCCATCTATCATCGCCACAAGCCACAAAGAACCAGAATCCGAGTCTCCTCCTGGACTCGCTGGCTGGCCCCCTCGATGTGTCGGAGCTCTTGCCAGTGACTCATATAGTAATCATTCATCGCATGACGCCAGCGAAAGGTCCAGTGCTTCGTAAAGAAAACAGACATGACTGCGACTACTATGTAGGTTCCAGCTACTTCCGAAAAGGTGAATAAGTATCCATAGATCTCGTGCTTAGGCACGCTTGACTCTTTTGACAATGCCTTCTGTATCAAGTCGTAGAAGTCTCCGAACCAAGCAATGATCACCACATCAAGGTGAACTTGGTACCATGTGACGGCACCAATGAGAATCATGCCCGGCCATGACCAGTAGATCCATCCCGGCCGACAGAAAAACTCTGTCCACATGATTATGTGGACGGCTGAAGCCCCGTCTATCTCGGTCCTACATCCTCCTTGAGCGGCACAATGTACATGCATGTCCCGATCCAAGTGGGTAGCTAAAGGCATCAGGTGCTGAAAATGTACTAGAGTCTTGTTAGGAAACCTGCCTTCATGTTCCCTCGGACCCGGCCCTTTCAGGTTTGGGAGTTTGGGGCCGCATCAATCAGCCTCTCGCACCAACATAACCCGCTTCCAAAGCGAAGCTGACTGCCTGCACAGCTTCTCCAGGTGGGGAGACGGGGAGAAGGTCGCAGCGTCGCCAGCGCAGTAAAGTGACTTCCTTCCGGAGCCAAGCCCGCAAAACCTGTTTTTTGCATCCGCTGCGTTTACCTGCTCCCTCAGGATACCAATGCATCCGAAAGCTTAACCGGCTTGTACGCATCCTCCCGTGCCCAGGTCTGCATGCTGGGGATCCGGCCAGCTCGGTCCTGCTGCGAAGGTGCTTCCCGGAAGGGTGGAGAAGGGCAAAGCTGCCGATAATGCAAACTTGAATGGAGAGAAAGGCAACTAGGACAGAGATTACGACAACACCTCGATCAATTCAACTTGGAATAGTCCATCGCATAGCGCTACACTGCAGCTCGGCACAGTTCTGGCATCAAAAAAAGCGAGGCAGCTCCGCATCTGAAGATTGGGTATTCCCTCCTGCAGCCAGGTTGCTGCATGAGATTCCAGCACATTCCAGCAAGTTGCCGAAGGTTGCAGATCAAGCACACCGTCGTGGCCGGGATCCCACAAATGACAGTCGTGTGCCCAGCACCAGCATGTTCCCCCTCGTCATGGAGCATGAAAGGCTTTCCCATGTGCTCCTCTTCGGCTCCAGCTGACAGAAGACGCCTGGCAGCCAAGAACGAGCGCGGGTTTTTCTTAGTCCACGCTGCACTGACCCATCAGCCGTTGGCGCAGTGCTGACGAAAGCGAAAGTGCTTGCTGCGAGCAGTTCAACTCATGCTGGAAAAGCATGTCGTGCGAGCCCTCATATGTTCGCTCACAAGCATGGTCCTTCCCGTGCACTCCTTCCGCATGTGGTATCCACTTCAGGGTCCGGAAACAAGATCGAGATTCAGAGACAAAAGCACGGGGGCTTCTGACAGCCTCGGAGTGCGCAAAAGGGGAGCGCGGTATCTTGCGAGATACATCAAGCCTTTCATCGAAAGAACAAGTCAACAAGAGCTTTGGCACATGGCCTAGGTCACGGTTGCCAGTGGCGGAGATCCCCGTTTGATTACGTTTGGCAGGGAGCCGCGTGTGGCCAAGCAGCTGTTGTTACTCCACCCTGCCGGGCGCTGCTTAATGCCACACTTAAATCCGGATAGACGGCAATACAAACAGAATCGTTTCCTATCCGGAATCGGCCAGGGGCCGAAGACAATTGGCCGGTGGCCGAAGACCAGTCACAATGAGACTGAAGCTCAGGACCGCACATCCTTGTTAGCACCAGTTGATCTGTGGTTATAGGTTACAGCTGCACCGCACATACCCGCATGACATAAGTCTAAACAGCGTTTGCCTGAACGACATGTGCAAACATTTCACCACAGAATGTCTCGGCAACCCGTTACTCGAAAACATGACCGGTCAACATGTGCATGCAACATCCCACCGGAGCACTGAATGGAACAGCAAGTGCAAACAGTTCCTTACATCCGCACCGTACTAATCGACAAGCGAAAGCAAGTCGCAACAGTGGAACAAGACGACATGTGTTTGCGCCGTGGAAAACATACATAAGCATAAGTGAAACCTCGCATGCATCGGACCGTCATGAGCATCAGAACACAATCACGAAACATGTTCACCATTTGTTCCCTGGCATCCGACGCTGTCTTCACTCAGTCACCTACGGTGCGATGGCAGGCAGTGCAGGTATAAATAAACAATCACACTCTTGCGACAGTAGCGCGAGATGCATCCAATCGGTGGTTCCAACTGGGCGCAACGCGGCATCTGACAGGAATGAATCTCTGTGACAAACATCTGCAAGTGACACCGCGGTCCCATGCGCGTGGAGGAGCTGAGCTGTTTGCATCTCGAGAATGCTCCGACAACTCTGTTGCACAGGTTGTGCAGACAAGAACGGTGCGCTCAAGTTAGGTTTGTCGTCAAAGCCACATGTCAATTCTTTTGCGTGTGCTGTCCAATGAAGCTGGCGTCCAAGCACGAGCTCAAACCCAATGCGCGCATTCACACTGTCAGGCTTCATGAGAAAATGCGGCGGGTGGACATATGTCAGGAACGCATTGGCAGCATCCTGTAGGCCTTGTAATGAATAGGTCAGTCGAGCCACGATGAAGTGACGGACATCATCCGTGAATCGCATGCATGATGCATGCATGCGGGATCAACACACCATACAGGCAAAAGCGCTGCGCTACCGCGTTTGGTCGGAGTATGTCGTAGAACTGCTAGCTGCTGGCTTCAGGTGATGTGCAATGATGTCCAATGCTCTGATTCAAGCATTCTTTGTTTCGAGCAGCGAGCTATTCACGACACAAACGCTTGCGCAGCGGAGGCTCTAGTGAAGCATCCCGTTGACAACGGCGTGAAAGACGAAAAGCTGCGTTAGGAAACGATGAGCTCTCTGGGAGTGAAAGTAGGTTTTGAACGGAAGCCGACAAACACCTGTCGATAACAACTCCAAGCCTGGCGATTCTCGGGCAGGATCTTTCATCCATTCCCTTCTCGTCGTGTCATGTGCAAGGTTCTAGCAACGAAGAGGAGCCGCCTTCCGTCGAAGGACACCGTGAGCATGCGAAAACTGCACGTTGTGGATGGCCAAGTTCAGCCGTTGTGCTGCCGTGCTTCCGAATTGAACTCGCCCAGCAACTAAGCACACCCTGATCTCGGGAGTCTGTCGTTGTCGCTAGCTGACATGCCTACGTTGCGTGATGATGATAAGCTCGGCAGGACGACGCCAGACAACGCTCATCCTCCTGACTTACTTGTTTTCTTGATCAGTGCGAGCTTCGGATGCAGGAAGGCCGGGAGGCTCCGGGTGGGACGATATCGGCATCGCAATATTGAAGCTTCTGTAACATTCTGGGTCGCTGTCCTATGATGTCGGGCAATCGCATGTTGATGCACTGGGCCATCAGATCTAGACGTTAGGCGAACAGGATCACGAGAAGCGCTTGAAACCGGAGACATCCCCGAGCGACGTGGGAGACGATCACTTGAGCGATGAGCTTGCTTCCGGCTAGGTTTGGGCCCTTTTCAGTTCGGCGTCCTTCATCGAGTAGATGACATGCTCGAGCCGGGGATAGGGCAGCTCGTCCTCTCATGGATTGAAGAGCTCTGTGTTGGACAGGCCCTGCAGATTCTCGGACTGACACTTCCGTGCGTTTGAAGAGTCCCTCAGAATGCGAGAACTTTGACGACAGCTTTGGTAAGGATCTGAAAGTTCAACTCCGCTTAACATGCTCAACCAGAAATGACCCTCCTGGGTCCAGCAGACACCAGCACTCTTCTGGGTACGCTCCATCCCGCCTCTCCCAGGGTGAGCTCGCATTTGCGTGGTGAACTCCTCACGAAGACTCACCAAGCATTGTTGCAGAGATCATCCGGATTGTATCGCGCAGAAGCAATAGAGCATAATGTGTGAAATATGTCAGGAGGACATTGGAGGGTCGTGTTATGTCGCCTCAACAAGAGAAGATGAGAGCGGAGCTCAGGATATTTGCAGGGTTCCAGTAGAGCACAAACCGCACTGCATTGATTCATTGAAACACCTCTCCTCTTCGCCCCTGCATCTTCCAGAAGGCAGTAAGAGAAGCTGACAACCTGGACAGAAGTGCTACTTTACAGCCATGCTTTCAGCAGCTAGTAGCTGTGGAAACCCAGCTTGGCCAACAACCGTTGCGTAAGAAACTCTGAGACAAGGACGTCCCCTCGACGAGGCCTCTGAAGCAAGGCAAGCCGAAGTCCGTCAAGCTCTGATGAGCATGTTAGAAGTGCCAAAGCAGCATTCCGATTCAGTAGTGCGGCGAATATACGAAGCCTGACTGATGCATCACCTGAGGCGACTGGGCGGCCCACCGCCGGCGGGAAGAGCCGTTTTGCAAGATGCGTTTGGTAACGCTTCGGTCCTCTGTCAGCGCCAACACGCACTCGAAACCCAGCAACTCCACTCGTGCGCGGAACATGGGAGGAGCCGCAGGCGCGGGCGCCGCGGCTGGCGCGGCTGCCGCAGCTGCAGCTGCTTCCTCCGCTTCCTGGGCTTCCGCTTCTTGCTTGGCCTTGCGAAACTTCAGGAGGTCGACTTTGGCCTGCTCTGCTAGCCCCTTTGGGGCCGCCGGCAAAAAACGCAGCTTCCGCTTCACTTTGCCAGTCTTCGGAAGCACGCCTGGCTGGGTACGCAGCTGTCGGCCACAAAGCGGAGACAGGATCTTGCTGTACGCTGCTGGGGCGCGGATCTCTGCAACCTCTCCGACCCGCATGCTTTTCACTGCAAACTCTACAGCCAACGGGAGCTTGTTGTCCCCCATCTCAACCGTGATCTGATCCGCAACATCCTCGATGGGTGGGCCATCGAGCTGAAGTGTGGAGAAACGGACTGTCACGATGTCGTTTTGGCCGGGCCGTTCCAGACCTTTTCCCACCTTCTGAATCAACTTCTTAACAGCCCCGTCCCGACTGCAGGTGTTTTCATCTCCTACGTGATCTTCTGGTGGCTCGTCGTCCGAATTCCAGGCCGGAGGTGCATCCGAGTTAATGGATTGTGTGTCCGACTCGGCGCCAGCATCTTCAGCTGTCATCAGCGTGATGCTGGCTACCCATGCTGCCGGTGGCGATAGCCCTTCTACTCGTACCTTCTGAGGGCTGCTCAAGCTCAGGATTTGTGCGGGCATTCTGTCTTGCACGTCTTCGTTTATCTGTATCTGTCTCCATCTGCCTGTCACTGTGTTCCATGGGAGTATGTTGCTTTGAGGTTGAGGAAGGGCTACTACACCTTCGCACTTTTCGTTTGTTGACTGCTACGGCAGCGGCACGGAATTGCGCAACAAATAGCAAGCTTCCTCTCCTCACAACCATTGCTGACCTTGCACTGTCTTGTGTTTGAGCCAGCTACGCTGTCTTAGGGTCTTCGGTACTTCCACGGCAGAGTGCGGAGGCTGGGATCACCTTTCGAGCCTCGGGATTCGACAGCGTGTCCTCGGGAGGTGCAAAGTTTGAGGGAGGAACCATCTGACAGATTGGAGAAGCCGTCGCATGCTTGGGCCAACACGTATGCTTTGGAGATCTTTCCGAACTTCTCAGCACCTTGCGTGCTGGCTTCAGTGGTGCATTCAACGACATGGCTCCCCTTTCTCGACACATGTGTGCAATCAGAAGCTCAGTAGCCCAGCAAGGCATTAAATTGTGCTCGACAACCCGGCTACCAACCACTGGTAGGAACCAGGAGTCCGACATTCGGTGCAGTCAGGGTTCTTGTCAGGATGGTACTTGAGAGCCAGGGCCTGACCCGACGCTTGTCAAGGCAGGGCGGCGTGGTTCAAGCCTTCAGCCGACAGAAAACTCTACCAGCGGCAAGACATCCAAAGAACAAGAAGCTCCTCCCCGCAAGAAGCATTCACATCGAAGCCGATTCTCAATACCCAAAACACCCTCCGACCGAATCTCACGCGGAACAAACCCTTTCATACCCTTTCCAGTTGGCCTTGTAGGCCTTCCTGATTTCCATCTGATCCACACCTGCTTGGGCAGAGCTCCAGCACAACTGACATTAACGTACAACCTCACCTTGAAAGTCCATCGGCAAGTCCACCCACACTCAACAGTCAACACCGCACTAAAGTCATGCTAAGGTTGGTTCAGAGGTTCTTCCCACCACCGTTTCTGATAAACAGACAGAGAAGGGTCAATGCAACGGCCATGGGCCTTTCGTCAGGCCCATGACTTCATAGAAGTTGAACTCGGAGTATGAACTCCAGTTTCATCGATGCCGCAGACAGAGCAAGGTTTCCATCCCCATGCCCCGAGCAGCAGGCCCCGTGTTCGTCCTGGTCTGCAGGGTGGTAGCCTGGCCATGCCGAAGCAGAGCCAAGAATATCTGCATCCTGTGCATTGGGTACCGAATGGAAAAACACGAATGGAGACAAGCCGTGCTCTTATCCCAAACGGCTGTGCGGCTATGTGGCAGAAACCTAGGAACCAAAACGATGAAATCCGATCATGGATGTTGACTTGCGCTTGCGCAGCAAACCTTTAACAGCGGGGAGCCGCCTTCTTCGGCTGCACGGATGGCCAACCTACATCTATGCATATCCAGTTACCTATCGAACATGTGGAATGCAGAAGCACTGAGGAGCCCGCATAGCCACAATGAAGGCGACCATGATGGCTGGGCCACCATAGGTGTTTGCCTTGCCACCGACGGATTCGTGATCATTGACTCCGTACAGTCTCGGCACCTTCTCCCGAATGGATTTCACTGACAGCGCATCTGACCTCAGACTGGCGCGAGGCATCTCGAGACCAGTCTGCCGAATTCTGCCGATTGCACCGAGGACCCGTCCCATCCTTCGATCCTTTTCCGCTGTTTGGACCTGCGGGGACGTTACAACGAAGCCCAAAGCCGCTTTAGCCCTCAGCCGCACAGACGCCGGCCTTTCTTCTTGCGATCAGGCTCCTTGCTGCCCTCCGCGGACTTTCCTGATTTGGGCACGATGCTTAGGCCGCTCAAGGTGCCCTCGGGCACACCACTCCTTTCAGCGCATCCAGGATGAAGCCCACGAGGATAAGTCGAAGGAACCGCTCCACCTTGCACAATAAGCGGTCTTCGTGCTTGTACTTATGCTCTTCTGGTGGTTGGTTTCGAACATGTCTTGCCCTGGTCTCAAGCACATGACGCACATCAAAGGAAAACTCGTTAAGCTTCGAGGTTTGCCGCGTTTTTAAGCCTGTTCTTAAGCCATGTACTGTCTCGAAATTCATTTCGCTTGCACATAGGGCATCGACTCGAGCCAAAAAACAGTTCTGCAAGACAAGCGCAGTGACGAGCATCGAGGCCCTAGTCGATGTTTTACACTTCCTAGAGTGGTCTACCCGCGGCATTTACAGTGCATGTGGCTGTTTTCGGCCAGCTGTAGCTCGGAGGTCAGAGCCGGTGCAGCGTGCCTCCAGGGAGGATTGGCTGAGGGCCAGGCTATTCTTTGCCTAGCCTCGCGCTGCCTGCAACAATGATTGCAATCTCTTCAAGCTGGAGCCCGGGGTTGACATGCCTACTGCGAACGCAACACAGCAACGCCGGGCAACTCCCCGCAACAACGGTTCTCAGTGCAGGAATTCTAACGGAGCTGTTGATCGCAGCAGCTTAACGCGGTCCAGATCTAGCTTTGCATTAGAACGGACTCCCTCAGGTCGGCGTCAGGATCGTGTGGATCTCACAGACGTGCCATCGATTTGTATAATGCATTCAATTACTGGAGATGGTCAACTGCACCGGGCCCCAACAGGACCGACGTAGACGCTGCGACTGCAAAGCAAGAAACGCTTTGCGAGAGTCCCTCATGCAGCCTGCCCACAAAGCTGCCTATGCTAGCGCAGCAGATTTGACTTGGCATGCCAAGCCTGTCCAGCTCCATCTGGGCAAAAGCATCCATCTGCTTCGCCTTGTTGCAGGCTTACGCCCACTTGCTTGTCTGCAGTAAAGTCACATCAAGCATCATCCGACACAGCAGCAGTTTAACAGATTACCCGATGCAACTCGGATTCCGCGATACAACTCTGGCGTTCCCAATCTACCTTGGGCAGTTTATCGGATCACTGAAATGATCGCTGAAATATGGACACCAAGGACAAATCGAAGACGCCACGCCAAATCGCAAGCCGGAAATGCACCGCAAAGTGTCGGGGCCCTGACCTGCAGCTTCCTTTTTGGGGCAGCCTCCTTCTTACCCTTGCTGCTGGGAGGACCTTACTTCCATTCGCCGTCAAGAAGCATGATGGTTTTGATACTTTCTCCTGCTTGGACATTGGCTCAATCCAGGGCTTTTTTGAACGAGTGATATATGGCTACGACATGGGCGATTGCCGCGGTTCATGATGCTGCTCGTTTAACACTCGGTTCAGTACATAAACGTTCACGCGGCCAAAATCTTACAATCTTGCACCGCCTGGAGTGCAACACTGCCAATATTCTAGGAAGAAGGTGGTTCGAGGTCATCTACCAGCCCCCCGCAATCGTCGGAAGTGTCGCTTATTATAGAGGTGGTGCATAATTTCGTCCATCCACCGTTTAAAGAATCGCATCCTGAGAAATCTCGCAAGTCCGTTCCCAAAGCCGCCTCATGCGATCGGTCATGCCCTTTACCGCAGCTTTCATGGCACTAGAGAGCAGGCTAGTTGCAACGCAATTGCCGAGTGCCCGGCCATCTCGGGTGTCCTCCTGGCACCACAACGGGATGATGCCACAAGAATCATGTCTGATCACGGCAAACTCTGCCAGGGAAGCTCTTAGGAGTGCACTGCAATATCTAGCACATGTAGACATGCATGTCAACAGGCATATTCCGTCTGGGTATCATTAGGTATCTGGGCTTGTATGTATGTTTGTATGTTGCATGATGTTGCATGCAGGCTTGCATGCATATGCTCGATGCAGTGCGCCTGAAGACTGAACTTTGGCTCGCCTCTTACACTATGCCAAGTCTGATCCGAGAAGGTCTGCCGAGTACAGAAAGGGGAACCTTTGAAGTGTGCGTCCTCACTGTGTGTGCGTGCGTGCGTATGATTGCCGTATGTATGAATGTGTCCCGGTAGGCATGCATAGATAGTTCACGTGTGTACATAGACATATACTGTCTGCCATGCCACACATGCCGACAATTGCAAGTTGATCGAACGATGGCTGAAGGTCTCCTGTCCATCTGCTGGCTAACATTGACATGTTGCTGCCTGTTTTGCAAGAACAGCTCGACTGCTGAAAGATGGCTGCAACTGTGCATGTGTGGATTCGCACGTGAGGCTGCACAATGCCATGGCGTGTACAGTCACACGCACACGCCACAAGCAAATTGCCTCCTCCTCCTCGTCTTCTACCGTCGGAGCCTGCGACATCTACAAGGTACGAGTAGAGGAAGTGGCATGAGACAGGTCCCACGCTGGGCTCTTAGAAAACCGACTTCAAATCTCAACGTGTACTGCATTCCTTGCCAGCATCCTTCTTCTTCGCGCCAGCTTTCCTGACAAGACTCCGAGGTTACCCAAACCTAGATTTCAAGGGCAGGTCTCTAGGCAAAAAGGTACAATGCCCCCAAAAGTACCTTGGCTTATCCCGCAAGTCCACAAACCCTCGGCGCACCCCATTCGGAGAGGCCGGGCGACTTCCGGCGACGAGTTGCCAAGTGCCCACAAGCTTGAAAGGGCAATGCCGAGGAGCGGAGTGACTTGAGAAATTAACCAATGAGGACCCACCACGGTCTCATCAACCGGATGCAGTCTGCCTTATCTCCATAGCGATTGCTGGTCTTTTCGTCATCAACCTCAGCTGTGCTGTACACACCGGCAGGAGGGAGCTGTGGGCTCCTCTAGGCAAGATGCCGATTAAAAAAGAGGGATCGGATCAACAGCGAGGTGAGGAAAGTGCGAGCATTAAAAGTCTCGGGAAAGGTGTTAAAGGTCCAGCTCCAGAGCTGTCGCACCATGTCGCAACACTCCGGACACCGGATGATGGGAACTTGGGCACAAGGCGCGAGCACAGATTCTACAATCTTGCAGCTCGCGCCGGAATTAGGCTGCGAAAGCCATGACGTTAACTACTCTCTCTCTCTCTCTCTCCCTTGATTTTAAGATATTTTAAGATCTCTGCTTTCCAGCCAAGGATAACGAACAACAGCCCCGTTCGCGCTTTGCGTGAACCCTGGCTCCGAAGCTCCTTCTGGAGATAAGGGGACAGGTCGACGTAACATGCGTTTGACAGGATGCGAAGCCCCTAGGCGACAGCATCCCCAGCGCTTCGCTAGAGCCCGTTATGCTGCCATACCTGCGAGCTACCTCGAAGCCTGGCACAACTCAAACATAGGCTCTAGGCACTGCACAGAGCAGATCCTGACTCCAGCGCAGGCTGCGCAGGAGTCCCAGAAAATCAGGAGTTGGTCTGATCCGCGGAGCCGCCCCTGTCAACGGGTCAGACTGAGAAATGCAACGCCGACGCCCAAGCAGAGCGGAGACACGCGCCTGACGTAGCTGAGGGCACCTGGAGCCAACAGAAACCGTAGTGCCCAAAGCTGCAGCAGGGCAAGGCGCACCGATGTAGCTGAAGGATGCCACGGCCACCCATGGCCTTGGCCAGAAACAGGCAACGTCTCCGGGACGGCAGCTACCGAAACGACAACTTTGATACAGCCTTAGCCTGTGGCACTCGCAAGTGGAGTGGTAGCCTTTGTGGCATCGTCGAGAAGTGCCCCACACACTCGCCGACTCCAGCTCAGAGCCCCGCCAGAAGTAAGTCACGTAATGCCCTGGCACACAGGCTTTCTGCGACGCACTGGGGCACTGGGGTTAGTTATCGGCTGGTAGCAGGATAGGGCGCGCCTGGTAGCCAAACCATCCAGCTCATCATCCAGTCCTGGACGCAGTTTGCACGGTACCTGCAGTAGCCAACAGCAAGGCGGCTTCATGTGCCAAGAGAAGGTTGATTGCATGCAGTAGGGTCACAACCCCCTTTTCTGGGCGGCCCTGCTTCGTGAATGCTGCGGCCAGTGCTTCGCTGGTTGTCTGTGCCTTTGCAGCCTGCCATCCACGACTGTCCCATAACCAGCTCAACATTCTCCAAGCACTGCAAGTCAGAGAACGAAGACGAAACCTGACGTCGGAACAATGAAGCTCGATTGAACATTCATGGACTTGAATCTGGAGTGATGACAGCGAGGCCTGGAGAGCCCGTGACATTGGCAGGACATTGTGATCAAAAGGCAGACTTGTCCCAAACCCGCAGACCTTGACAGCAAACAGCAAGGCCAAAGAACTCTTCAGCCTCCTTCATGACATAGAAAGAGGGAAAAAGGAAGAACGGGTCGGAGATGAAGTTAGTAGCCTGGAAGTGTCAATGACGGGGCAGGTCTCTGCTTAGGTTCTTTCAGGCATGAGATCGCATCAGCTTGGACTGGAGATTCGAGTTGCTGCGTGTCGGCGACAATGGAAAGTAAGTAAGAATGACATGATCAGACTGATCAGAATACTACTCTTCCGCCCGGATCGGGAATATTAATTCAGGCCCACTGCACAGATGATTACGTGACTACGTCGCGCGTCTCCTCAATCTTCGTCCCACATGATGCACAGAGGAGCCAAAAGCCGAAGCAGACCTTTCACCGAGACACAGCCAACTTGCAGAAGCTGGCGAGCTTGCTTCTTCCCGGCCATATTCGCTCGAAAATGACCTCGACCGATCAGAGCCAACTCCGAGTTGCTCAATTGCTCCCTGAGTGAACGACCAAGAGAATCTCAATTTATTAAAAATGCATCTGCGCAAGGCCGACTGCATTTCCGGACCATGTATGGGGTGACAGTTCTGCAGTCCTTCAGCCGTAAAATTAAGGCTCGGGCATTCCAGAGGAAATACTGGAAACCTCCCTGTACGAGTCCTCCAAACCCCATGAACCTGAGGAGCAACGCTGCAATGAACTCCGCGCTTATCTCGAGGGAGCTCGTCATCACGCACCCAAGGTTACTGCAGGAAGTTCCTCTGCTTGTCAAGCTTCTCTCGACGCTCGATCAGCACCTGCCCGGGTGCAAGCGCCTTCTCACTTGGAGTGACGTTTCATTGATCGAGATTCGGGCAACAATCTAGGTTGAGGCCTTCCTCCCTCAGTCAAAGCACAAAATTCCCACCTGCACAACCAAATCGGCTAACGCCGCTTCGATGCTGCAAGACAGCCTCAGTGAGCTGGCGAAGCTGAAAGCAAGGCTGCTCACGCCCTGCATTCCTTGCCCATATGTATGTATGTATGTATGTATGTATGTATGTATGTATCTATCTATCTATCTATCTATCTATCTCTATATATATATATATATATGTTGTGTGTGTATACATATATGTACACATATATGTATATGTATGACCGGGGGTGAAGATTTGCATCGGGATGCCCTGCTGCGCATGCATGTGATACTATTGGTGGTGCTAGGCCTGAAAAGTTACAGTTTTCGAGGCTCAGGCCTCATGATTCATACGTTGGCACAGCCAAGAAACACAGCTGTCACTACCGGCCATCGGGCGACCACAGCGCCAAAGCGTTGCACCCAGCTTTGCACCTCGCAGCAGGGTTTTGCATGGCTTGCTTACACTGAGGCTACTGTCTCGCTTTGTAAGCCGAAGGCTTGCAGATTCTGTGGTGGGCCAAGGAAAACTCTCAAACCTTCCTTTGCGAGGTTTTCATAAGAATTTTCCTGGCCATACACATGTTGCGGGTGATGCTTTCACTCGAGCGACCGTGAAGGACCCTTCAAACCCCAAATGCCCCAAAGACCCCACAACTTCAGCAGCTCACTACCCACGACTCCCCTCGCATTCCTTGTTTTATTGGCATTGGGTATAGCTCCGAAGCCTCTAAATCACAGTGGACATGCCCACAATCCAAGGGCAAGGAACTAGAGCAAATCCACCTTCTACGAGTCTACGAGCACATGCAAGCAGGCCTGAAAGCTTGTGCCTGATGGCACATGGGGCACGTAAGGCCCTTCCGCCCTACTCCCCGGGAATCGGATTCCCTGTTAGGCCTGCGGCGGCCTCGCAGGCAGCAGAGCAAGCTCAACAGCTTCTGGCGCGGGGGCCTGCAGAGTCTCAGGCTCTGGGCTTTTTGGAGTTCCGCTTCACGGCTGCAGGGGTTCGGGGCTGAAGATGGAGGATTTGGAGAGCAATGCAGGGAGGCTTGGGGCGTCCACCGGGATCATGGCATGCACTGTCTCGCTTCTAAAGCCCTACTTTACGCTTTGAGCTTGTTTGGAAGACTGGTTTGGCTGCTCGCACAGCTTTCGCATCGAAGGTGCAAGCTACGGGTAGGGACGAGTAAGTCGCAGCAAGACATCGCATGACCAAGCTCGAGGCCACCGTCACCGCTCGTCGTAGGCCCAAGCGTCCGGGGCAGAGCGCTGCATTGCGGCGGCCTCTCCGATGTCGGGAAGTGCATGCAGGAATGCAGCTCAAAGTAGTCGGGACGATGGTCAAAACTTGGGAGACATGGCCCCTGCTCCAGGCAGCCCAGCTGCACAAGGTTGTGTTCTTCTCAAGGATCGACGGAGAAGCCAGCCCATGCAGGGCGTGCGAACGCGGCGAGCGAACGAGTTTGACAATGGTGTCCCCCCCACTTTGCGTGAACATCCAACATCCTTCCTGCCTGCCAATCGGAGAAACAGGTGCACCGCTGCAAAAGCACGGTTTGCAGTCCCCCCCGTGTATGTCATTGTGTAGGTGCTTTGCTTCGTAGCCAACACTGGTGCAAACCTGGTTGACCGTTGCTTGGTGTTGAAAACTGAGGATCTGCATTGTTGCTTCTTGACTGAGATGTACTGTGATCAACGGGGCTCTCAGTAGGGCTATCCTATTCAAGGAAGCCTGCAAAACAAGCAAGCACTATCGCCTTCTACCAATTTCGATTTTCTTGGCAGGTCATGATCAGAAAGCCAAGCGCTGCTGACTGCCCAAAACAGCTATGGTCCCACTGTACGTCAACATGACGACGTCGCCCATCGGTGAGGAAGACCTGGGAACCAAACAAAGCCGTCGAAACTCGTCCCGCGGCCGCATGTCGCAACTTGTGAAGACGATGCGAAGGGAGAGGGAAAGCAGCGTCGAACTACAGAATGGGGCAAAGGCGTGCGTCAAACAAGACGGCACCTGGCCGAACATTCAAACTTGGAAACGGGAATGCAATGTGGAGCGACTGCATCTGTATCTGCGGAATCATAGCATGCAGCGTCGGTCAGAAGGCAGAGCCGCGGCAGCAGCAACAGCAACAGCACCAGCAGCAGAGCTTCAACGACAGCACGGTGCTGACCCAAGGAGAACAGCAATTCGCTCGAGCAGGTCTCCGGTGATGGACACGAAAAAACCTTCGGCGGCAGAGCCCCTGCGATATCGTGGAGGGGCTGAGAGGATTCCTTGCCACTGCAGACAAGGCCTTCCCGGCCCTGGCCATGAGGGCGACCGCCGGGGATCGCCGGGGGTGGAAGCAAGAGGGGGCATAGGAACACAGCAGGCTGCTGCAGGCTGTCCATGCCGACAGAGAAAGCTCCCTGAGGAGGCCTCAAGCTTCAAGTTTGGCGCGTATGCGGCCTCGATAAGAGAAGTCGTGGACCAAATC